ACCTGAGAACACCAGCAATTAAGAGGTAGTTCCGTGTTCCTCAAAACCTCCTGATCAGAGGCCTTGCTATCGGGTGTAGTTTATCGTCTTGCCCAGGACGCAGATGTAGTTTATCGTCATACCCAGGACAGAAATTTTTTTGAGAGTTGGTGTTTGCGTAAATTAACTAAAAAAACAAAAAAACAACAACAACAAAAAATATTTTTTTCATATTGGACAGCAAAAAAAAAAAAAAAAACCAAAAATATCTACTCTTAATATTTGTTTAAAAAAATGTGTAGTTTTTCGGTATGATTTTGAAATTCATCCCTTTACTGTTCGTCACAAGAGTTTTTTTTTTTATTAAATAAAAACATGTTTGATGAATCGAAATGAAAAGTTTACTGCCATTTTCTAGTGTGAACCATTTTCAAGAAAAATGTAATTTTTTTTGTCATTTTAGTAACTATTAGATTATTTTTTGTATGAATATACAAAAAGGAAATAATTCTTTGATTGAATATTTTTCCCAATCGGAAGAGGAATATAATAAATATAATCTTAAATTCAGAATAGTTAAAAAAAAATACACATTCTGTTAAATTAAGACAAGTGATGAAATAAGAAAAAATAAAAGCAATGTATTAAACGTAAAAGCATCATTTAACTAAATTAATAAACTACTCCTAATGTCCTAAAATAAAATTATTCATTCTATTTTTTATAAAATGCGTAGAATAAAACAATTATATTCTTTAACTAATGGTTACATAAGGTTAAATATAATTTACTTTTTTAACATAAATATAAATTTCTTGATTGTTGCACTGCTGATGTTCTGTATTTCTTTAAAGTCTTTTAAAATTTTCGCGCACTTTTTAAGAGCGGGATTGAAATTGATATTTATAGTTGTTAATCTCTGATACCTCACAGGTTACTTACCACGTATAAAAACGTTATTTGCAAAAAGTAAGCCTAACGTCTAACAAAATCAAGTTAATTAATAGTTAAAATTATTAAGTGATTTCGAAACACATCATTAGAACAAATATTGGATTTTTAGGAGATTTTTAAATTTATAGTTTTCACTTTTCGTCGATAATGGCGGTTCGATGAGTCGACGAGTGACGAGTAAAAGTGCCAATGTCTTAAAAATACCTAAAAGAACCCTTACATACGGAAATTTTATTAATTAGTATTAGACAATTATCTTTAAAAACATTTCTTTTTATGTGCCGTGTCCCTTCAGGACGTAGGCGATCATTGCTCTCCACTTCCCCCTATCCCTTGTAGCTCTCAATAAGTTTTGTCTCTTTGATACTTTCCCCAGGCCCTGTTCTGTCATCCACTTGCTTAAGTCCGCTAGGTATGTCATGCATTGCTTTTCCTTGTATCGCTTTCTCTTTATACGACCTGTAAGTATCAGATTCTCCATGCCTTCTTTTCTCATTACGTGTCCCAGGAATTTCTAGCTTCCTTTTCCGTATCTAAGCTTCTTCCTTGTTTACATCCTCTCCAAACATGCGCCTTGTGGGATTTTTTTTTTTTTTTTAGAAATTCCGTGGCAGTGTCCAGTGAATGCTTGTTGAAAATCATACCTCCGTTGGAAATAACCTCTGTGAATTCCAAGAATGATATTTTACACGCTTTGGTGCTGTTCTTGAAATCCCTCCGTTTCTCCCTGTCTTTGGTAAAATAGCCGTTTTTTTGAAGTCAGAGATCTAAATCCTCAGGTTTTAAGATTTTTTTTTTAGGTTGACAGGTCTCCTAATCGAACATTATAGAGTGAAAATTTCAGATCAGCATTCGGCTAATAACTACATGACAGGCCACGAACTTACTGATTCACACGTATATAAATCAACACCTTATTACGATAAACTGCTGAAATTTGTTAGTGCATGCTCACGTACACATACATACACGTAAGGCCTCTGACCCCCACAGCACTCCATCCTATCCCCAACTTTACCGCTTCTAATACATTTTAAAGCACTTCAAACTTTGTGAAGAGTTTTGGTGTGACGTCATTTCTGGATGCATTTACACCAACAAAAGGAAGAAATGGCGGTTGGGGCAAGGGGTGAGGTGGCTGAGGACCGTCCGTCTGTTTGGACTGAGCTGTCCTCCGGCGGTGAGCACAAAGGATGCCTTGTTGATTGTCAGGGTGGGGAACCGAAGCATTTTTTTTTTCCTTTTAGTTGAGGGTGAGGCAGGTGTCGGGGACTTTACCGACGCAGAAGAAAACGTTGAAAAAAAATGGTGGAAAATGGATACATTTTGTATGCTATTCAAATATAAAGACACATACACGCATGCGCATTGTATATAGAATAAAATACTGGTGAGATACAATTATTTTCTTCTGTGAACTTCGCTATCCTAAATTGATTGAAACAGACGACAGAAAAAAGGAGCCGTGGATAGGTGTATTACTGTTAAATTCAATATATACACGTGTGTACGAGTATATGTATGTATGTGTTTAAAAATGCTTACAAACATGTCTGTATATATAGATGTGTGTTTTTCCAGATGAATGCATTATCTAAATATTAAAACAGATGTCCATGTGTGTTTATATGCACAGGTATGTATGAGCTTGTGTTTACACACACACACACACACACACACACACACACACACACACATATATATATATATATATATATATATATATATAGTTAAATTCCCAGATGAATTCTGTGGACAAGACAGATTGGTATCAAATGACAATTGGAAAAAATCATACATTTTGCCGACGCGTTTCGTCTTCCGACTTTTTCAAGGCAAAAATGAAATCGAAATCTTTTTAATTTTGAATTTTAATGTAACTATAACAGCAAAAACATTTCGATTTTATTTTTGCCGTGAAAGTCGGAAGACGAAACTCGTCGGCAAAATGTATGATTTTTTCCAATTGTTATTTGATACCATATATATATATATATATATATATATGAGATGACGCATATTAAGAATTGCTATTAATAAAATAGTACTCGCTGTAATATAACAGCGATATTAAATATATATTAATAACTATACATTTTTTTTTCTCAGAGTTTCATGGACAATGCAATCTTCAGGTGCTGAGTAGGGACTGAATATTGCGTTGTGCATGAAACTCCGAGTTATGCTACCGATGAGGAAAAATGTACAATTATATATATATATATATATATATATATATATTGATAATTAGTGGTCAACACACATACACACACACACACACACACACATATATATATATATAGAGATAGATAACTAAATTTCCAAGAGGATACAATCCAGGTAGAATTCAATGTCCAGGACAGAGTAACAGAGTAAGAATATAATATAAAAGGCTCAAACACTAATACTCCATGTTACAATTTACTACATTGCCTTAAATATGTCATGTGAGTGTTAAATTCCCCAAACCCTCTTTCTTCATTATCTATCCTTGAAATGACAATTGTCTCTTTATGATTCTCAGTATAAGTGTCCTTTTCGCTTCAATTTTCTTTAAAACTTCTTCGTTTCTCATATATTCGGTCCATAGTATTCTCAGCATCCTTCGGTAGAACCATATTTCTGTTGCCTCAAGTCTCTGATTTTCACATTATCTTAAATGTAAGGTTAGAACATAAACTACCATCAGTGCTAGAATGAGCGATAAGAGATAGTGCACTTGAGTAAAATATTTCCTGAAAAACTTTATATAGATTTCAACCGACTTTAATGTTGTTTTCTCAATGAACCCCGAATATTTCCTTATAAGAAAATAGCTAATCGGTGAACGTGGACCTACGTGTCTGCCAAAAAACAAACTGTCAAAAGGACGGTTTTCTCCATAACACCGTTATTATTTTAACTACCTTCACTCCTTGGAAATGCTTATTGTTTTTAAAAAGCGATGATTAGATTTGTAATAAAATCTAACATATGATGAAAGTAAATTTATACATTTTATTTTTGTTCTTGAAAATTTACAACAAAAGTATTAAACAGTAAGCACTATTTATTTATTGGTTTATTTAAAAGAATATTTTATAGTTACATTATTCTAAAAACTAATACAATTAAAACTAATGTAATATCTATCATTTACCAATTTATAAAGAAATAAATATGATATATATTTTTTATTCATAAATTTAAAAACATTTACGAAATTATTAAAATATGTGAACCAACTCTAAGGAAATCTTTATTATTTACCATTTTATAAAGTTTGAATCAATTGACAATTAACCGATATTTTTGCCAAGGTTTCCAATAAACGATATAATTAAAAAAATATTGTAAATAAACAAATCTAATAAATAGTGTTATTATTTTTGCTGCCAATTCTCAAGAACAAAGAAAAATGTATAAATTCATGTTTAGGTTTTATTAAAATTCTAAGCATCGTTTTTTAAAATAATAGATATTGCTGAATAGTGAATAAAAAAAAAGTGAATAAAAACGCTGTCATGGGATAATCGTCCTTTTAATATTCCATCTTTTTTGCGGGAACAAAAGTACATATTTGCCGGCTAATCTTACCATTACCATAATTGATTAGCGGGTACACATTTCAAAATAAACTTACTGTCAGTGACTTGTGATATTAGATTTTTGACACTTGTAAGCATTATTAAAACCTATTTAGAACTAGCACGTCCAACAGTATAAGTGTCCTTTTCGCTTCAACTTTCTTTAAAACTTCGTCGTTTCACATAGGTTCGGTCCATAGTATTCTCAGTATCCTTCGGTTTTCATAAAGTTTGAATCAACTGGCAGGACATGAGATCATGACACATATGATGAAAGTAAATGTATACATGTTATTTTTGTTCTTGAAAATTTACAACAGTAAACATTATTTATTTGGCTCCACTAAGCGAGAGAAACTCACTAGACCATCATGCTTTGTTGCCTCGGTCAAAATAAGTCTGGCACATGACACATTTGGTGAAGCGCCCAGGAAAAAAATAAACTTACGGAAGACAGTTGCCTAATCATCATTGTACGCCATGCATTCTGTAGGCAATAGCTTATGGCCATACCACGTTGAAATATCGGTTCCCGTACGATCAGCGAAGTTAAGCAACGTCGAACCTGGTCAGTACCTGCATGGGTGACCGCTTGCGAATGTCAGGTGCTGTAAGTTTTGATGTGCGGATGGTGCAATGGATAATGGCTCGGAAATGCTAATCGGAGAGCCGAGTTCCAATTTCAATGGTGGTTTAAGCGCACCCACATTTTACTCCTGCACCAAAAGTCAATGTTTCAGCTCAGACCCTCATTTCTTCTTCAGTTGAGCCTAGTCTTTCTCGCTTCTTATTTTTTCATGTTATTTAGAGTTGAAAAGCCTAATTCGCATAAATAAGAAGTAGAAAGTTGTAATAAAACTGACAAAGTCTTTTTTTAGCTAATGTGGGGCATTGTTTTTGTATTGAAATCCAAAATATATCAATGCGTACCGTCGAATGTTTTATCTTGAGCCCCCGATCGCTATAAATGGTAGCCAATTCTTCGTCTTCACCTAACTAAAGTCCAATATCAGAAGAAACATTTATGAAGGGATTTCGAACCCAATCACACTTTCGTGGCACACTTAAGAGGACCGTGCGGCACATTAGATGATTTGGATAAGTGAGAACTTCGACATGATCTCATGGTTAACAAGCTTGTCCCGCACGATCAATTACGACTGAGGGGTGAGTTCGATTCTAACTAGGGTGCTCCATGATTTCCGTCTTGTGCCACATCTAAATTACGTTTAGAACATCGTTTTGATAAATATGACGCCTTGCAAGGATCGATCTCGCGTCAGTCGTAATGATTATTTACATTATTCACACATAGACCATTGTCCTCATCTTTGTTGTTGCTATCACATTTCGGCTGCTGTGTCCTTCGGCCTTCTTCAGGTTTCCAGATAACCTTCAAGTAATTCCAACTGAACCCTTAATTTAATCTACGGGGATAGACTGTTCTCGTCCCATTGCCCGTGTCTAGGGATATCTCGTTTAGTTCTTGCTTTTAGTACTGCTCAGTTATGGCTCTCCACCGTTTCCCCAGAGTCTGCGCTGTCAGAAATTGAACTCAAAATTTCACGATTTAATTCACTAGGTTATTCGAAATTCTTTGAACACACCCTGGAACCGGAATCAAAACAACCGAAACGTTGTGATGATAACAACTAAGGTGAAAATAATAGTCCGCGGGAAAGCAATGAAAATACCCCATATGGTGGTGTACAAGGCTAATGGGCGTAAAAAACGACCCACAAATTTTCAAGTTAAAATGAAGGTTTAGGGATATATTCCCCGTACAAGACGACTGTCAGAAATCTTATTTTAAAATATATAGTACTGAATTTATTAAATAAATTCAGTAAGCATATCCCTTTTTTCACTCGAATCGTAATGAAAAAGCTTTGGCGAGATATTGTCAATTATCTACCACTATCTACAGTATCTCATGAGTGGGTGCTGTGTTTTCGATAGGCTATTACGGTATCCTGAATGACATTTTCCCTCTAACCATCCACTCGTACCACTGATCTCGAATGTAATCTTTAAACTGCTTGTATAAGATACCGGGAGTATAAGACGACCCCCTATTGGGAGGGGGGAGTTGAGATACACGTCTAGTTGTGTTTTTGTTCAACAACATCAAAAAAGGAGGGATTAGCTCACCGTCAAAAATCTCCCATTCTAATAACTTACCATAAACCACAAGATCTAATGTCCACATTTTATATTGGGAGTATAAGACGATCCCCTATGGGGGAATTTAAGGTCAGAAGGACGCCTTGTACGCCGACATATACGGTAATGATAACTGCTCGTCGCAAAAATTCAGACAGAACCCGATCGTAATTGTCTGGTTAACTATTGTGATAACCATTGCTTCTCGAGCAGGTATCAAGATAGATAACCATACCTGTGTGCATAAACACCTGTCACAATATCTACGTATAAATACATAATGTATATATATATATATATATGTGTTTTTGTGTGTGAGGGTGGGTGCCATAGAGAAGAAAAAAAAAATGTACGTTGTCAGCCAATAAAAAAAAAAGCGCTTGTTTTCCCCGAGTGTTGTCTTCTTAAAGGACCTCGTACTTACGTTTCTACCATTCACACGTGTTACAGCAACTCCCAAAGAGCTGGCGTCGGTGGTTGGTGCCGGAGTTAGAAATAAAGCACCCACAGGCCATCAGACAAGAACGGGGGAGTAGCGGATCGCTGAGAGGCGCCGGTCCAAACACTTCCGAACAGAGAAACGGGATAATAGGGATTATTTTTCCTGTCGACAGTAAACAGAGGCGCGCAACTCAACAAACACGTGTCAATGGGCCTCAATGGAGTTGATCTCTATTCGTATCTCCCTGCGTCTGTTGTTGGCCATTGGTAAAAGTGTTTTGGCCTGTAAGATTACCCAAGGCACTGGAACCAATTTTGTTGGCTGCGTAAAAAAAAAAAAAAAAGAACAAAAAAAAAAAAAGAAGAAAAGAAAAAGAAAAATCTGAAAGAGGGAAGAAAAATTAAATTTTGTATCGATACAAAGAAATTTGTATGCGTCTAAAGGTAGGGTGCGAATGACAGAACGGAGGGACAGGGGAGGGGAGAATTTTTTCTTCATCACCTTTTTCTTTCTCTACCTATCTATACCTCCTCTATTGTTAACAGGAAGGTTCATGCTTCTTGATATATATATATATATATATATATATATATATATATATATATATATATATATATATATATATATATTCCAGATATATATATATATATTCCTGATATATATATATATTCCTGATATATATATATCAGGAATATATATATATATATATTTCTATCAGGAATATATATATATATATATTCTGATATGTATATATAAATATATATATATATATATATATATATATATATATATATATATATATGTATGTATGTGTGTGTGTGTATGTATGTTTTAGATCAATTGCGATTGTGTAGTGAGTTTGATTCCCACGGGGTACTGTATATTTTCGGCCTTGTGCAGTGACGTGCAGATATTTGTTGATGGCCGGGTCGTCAACTCCTTGATTGTATACCCTTAAGATTTAAGCAGAGGGCCTAGTACTGAGAAATATGAGAAAGGAAGACATTTTAAATATATAAAAACAGATGAAACATGAAATAAACACTTTATTTTAAATTAAATATCAACTAAATTTTTATTTCACTCTTTGATTGGATGCCCTCCCTATACGGATGCCCGGGGCCTTCGCACTCTCTACAGCCATTTCAGCACGCTACTACTGGTCTTCTTTCTTCCTTGTAAGGTAATATTCGGCATTCTTTGACCGAACAGCCAGTGCTACATGAGTTACGCTTTTCATCCCTCACTGTCCATCGGGCTGATATCAAAGTGTAGTATCTGTTCCCCTCATCTCTAATGTTAATGGTAATAGCCTTTTCCTTGTAAGGTAACATTTGGCATTCTTTAACCGGAGAGTCAGTGCTACTTGAGTAACGCTTTTCATCCCTCACTGAACATCGGGCTGAGATCAAAGTGTAGTATCTGTTCCCCTCATCTCTAATGTTAATGGTAATATTAGCCATTTTTTTTTATAAGGCAACATTGGCCGAACAGTCGTTAATACTATCATTTGAAATTTATAAAATTTTTCTATTAAAACAATTTTTCAGGAATATAGGTTTCTCAACTTATCGCTCTTTCCAGTATTGATGGGGCGGGGGACTTCCTTCCTAACTATTTCTTTGAAGTAGTATAGAAAGTTAACATCTTAATGATGCTACTATTTTCTTGTTGGGTTACATTTGATATCCATTTTAGTTATTGTTGCTATTGAAGCTTATATTTATAATCCATCGATTATTAGTCCATAAAAAATAACAATCATTCATTGTACAGTGTAACCCGGATATAAGAGACCCGGATATAAGAGAAACCCGGATATAAGAGAGATTTTCTCTGGTCCCAAATTAGAGCCTGTGTTAATGTATATAAAATAGACCAAACCCGGATATAAGAGAAACCCGGATATAAAATACTTCTTCTCGGGTCCCGATAACTCTCTTATATCCGGGTTACACTGTATATTATAAAAAGTGTTTATCTCTGCAATTACTAGCTACAATTAAAATCCCAATACATAAGTCTAATATCGGGGCACCTTGACATTGTGTAATGGTAAGCAAGCTTGTCTCGCTAGCAACAATTACGACTGGGTAGCGATTTCCATCCTCACTGGGCGCCCCATACTTTCGGCCTTGTGCCACGTCTAAGCTACGCTTGAAAATTACCATAAGGCTTAGTACTTTCTATAAATTTACATTCTTCATTGGAGACTTTAACTTTGATTTTTTTTTAAATTCCCATATTGGCAACGTGGTTTTAAAAACACCATTTGATATGGGATATATTTATTAATCATTTCACACCAGGCAAAGCAATGATACTGCTAGAATGCAGGAGGTTACAGAGAGTGAAAGAGAATGAAAAGACGGGGAGAAGGGAGGAAAGGACAATAAAAGAACAGGTTCAGGAAGATAGAAGATGATGATTGAGGTTACATTTAAATTTTTGAAGATTATAGGTGACTAGGAAGCAAGAAATCGGAATATAGTTCCACAGGTGAGAAGAGCTAGAAAAGAAACTGTTAGAATAGAAGTGACGTATTTATCTTATCTAGGTCAACAGTAAAACGATGAGACCTAGTTGCCAATCTAGTACTGCGCTTAAACTCATGAAGTCACGGCACCAGGAAAAAAAAAAGATCGACGGAGCAGTTGCAATGTAAATATTTGTAGAAAAGACAGAGAGAAGCCACGTAACATCGGTGAGAAAATGCCTGGTCAGGATCGATTACATTGCAGATCCTTCGTTGGATTTTATCAAGAATCTCAAGATGTACAGCATGAGCACCAGACCGGATATGGTAACAGTATTCAATGCATGGACAAAGTGTAGATTTATAAATGTGTAAGATGAGAAAAACTTTCCTTGCCGTACGCTTAAATTCATGTAGTCAAGGCACCGGGGGTGGGGGATTGGATACGTCAGAGAAGTTTCCAAGAAAATATTTGTAGAAAAGACAAAATAAAGCCACGTTATGCCGGTGAGAAAGTGACTGAAGTCAAGAGG